TGGGTTGCTGCAATAAGATCAAAAGCTGTTGTCTTAGGTGTATCCTGGGCACCCTATCATCTGACCAGGTGTGAGTTTATCCTGATGGGAGAAGGGCTTTTAAGAAAGAGGGTAATGCACAGTGGACACCACCAGAGCAACCTATCTGGACTGGAACTCGTGCTCCAGGGAACCCATTGGAAAAGGCTCACTTGATCAAGGCAATAGGCCAGAGGAAGTATCCTCTTGCGTCACATATGGCTTTGTAGCTCTGGTTTAAGCACTCTTTTTATTCGTAATTCGTGGATAATTGACCTGTTAGCCTTCATCTTTTTGTGCCATATCACATGCATTCTTCTGTTGCAGTGAAGTTTGGTTTGCAAAACTATATAAGCTAAAAAGTCAACTGCTGAATATTATACTTAAATGTTTTCTTTTTGAGATATACTTGTAAAATAAAATGCAGTAATACAAAAGGAAAGCTGCAGAAAGTATCCAGAATAATTTAGTGAGGGAAATAAGACATCCCAGCTGTAGCATTAAAGAAATATGTAAAGAATACTAGCAACTTTGCCTTGCTGGCTGCACAAACCTATAGCAGCGGTGACTTTAGCTTAACTTTTAAGTGGCTTAGTAAATCTCCTGAGTAAAAAAAAAATAATTACTACCCTTTAAAGTGGTCTGGCACCACCCATTTTCCTTAATGTGTTGATTTTACTAGTTTCCCTAAGCATATGATATCATCATCAACATTTCTTGGTTGATTTAAAAGCTGATTAATATGTTATGCACTGGGAAATGACAAAATATTTTTCTTAATATCTGTATAATAAGCCAAAGTAAATTTAGTGTATCTACTTTCAAATATATTGCTAAGTCAAGCATATATTGCTATGTACCGAACAGCAATATACAAATAGCTCTGTAAGGCCGTATGGATTTCTCTCATCTGAAGTTGTTAATACTAAACACATCTCATATACTGTAACAGCTCTCTATTTACAGTAGACTATCTATTTACATACTTATGACACTGTATTTACACATTGGCCACACAAATCCTTTTCCTCAAAAAAGCAACATACCTTTTTAGTATTTTCACAGAATGGGTTAGGTTGGAAGGGATGTCTTGAGATCAACTAGTCCAACCCACCCTACTCAAGCAGGGTCAGCTACAGCAGGTTGTGCAGGAGCGTGTCCAGCTGTGTTTTGAGTATCTCCACAGATGGAGGCTCTACCACCTCTCTGGGCAACCTGTTTGACCACCCTCAAAGGAAAGAAGTGTTTTCTTGTGTTCAGATGGAATTTCATGTGTTTCAATTTGTGCCCACTGCCTCTTGCCCTGTCCGTCGGCACCACTGAGAAGAGTCTGGCTCCCTCCCTCATCTTCATTCCCTCCCATCAGGTATTTTTACATTTTGTATATTAAGTACTCAAAGGCTACAAATGATCCTGGTAATATTTCACTTACATGACAGTACTGTGTTGAAAAGTTTTGCAAATGCATTTTAGCAAGCATCTACATTCTCTCTTTGTGCTCTCCCAGTAGTACTTTACTGCAGCCAATCTGTTAAATAGCTTTTTAAAACAATTTAAATAGCCCTAAGTAATTCTCTATTGGTGAAACACACTTCATCTGTACATCAAATCCGAAGGAGCCTCAAACATCAAGCAAATGGAATGAGAACAGCTTGAAACCTCTATACACCAGCCAGGCAGGGTGCTGAGAGTGCTCAGGCTGCAGCTTCCCATCCATTTTCTCTGCTGCAGTGCTAAAATAGTCAGTCCCTATCCCTGGCCACCAGCAGCTCCCCAGTGAACCACGCTGGGACAACTAGTTTGTCTGAAAAATGCCTCCTTCCCACCCAAATGAGTTCTTATTTAGCCCAATCAGTTCCTTGAACTGGTCTGCCATCAAATTACACAAAGTTGTGCCTGTGCAGAGGATAGTCTGTGCACAACCAGAAATAGAAGCTGGGCAGCTCTGCTGATCAATGTGAAATCATACTTTAATCTGCATCCCCAACCCGTCATCATCACAGCACCCCCAAACTGTCATCATCACAGCACTCTCCCAGTTTAAAGAGGATCACTGCAAGATCTCTGCCACATGCCAAAATAAACAAACACTCCTGCACAGCTGAGTCATCTCCATTACTTTGTGACCTGTCTATGCATAGTTTTAAGCACTCTAAGTGCTGTAAAGGGCCTACCTCCAGATATCATGGTACAATTTTAACCATGGTGCTTGAATTTACCTTTTTAAGCTCCAGGGATAAAAGACTGACTCATGCTGTTCCAGGTATCCCATCTATTGCAGTACTTACCCTCTTCTATCTCTGTACTAGTTCTGACATCAGACACCCTCTACCCACCACGTTTTCCTACTGCTAGAAGTCAGAAACACTAGAGGTGATGGTGTAAGAGGCCAGGAAAGGAGAATTAAAAACCAAGATTAGTTAGGAGAAGTCTATAGTTCTGCCAGCCTTTATTTTCACTTGTAGCTAAATTAAAGCCATAAAACTAAAAAAAGGGCTTTTTTTACATGTGTCATTAAGTTAGTAATTTAAAAAATGCTTTTCTGGTAGGATATTTTGAGAAAATGGTTATTATATTTGAAGTCTGTGATTATTTAGCAAGAGGAAACCAAAGAAATGCAAAATACCAGAACTTCACTTCAAAAAAAAAAATTTAAAATATGGATCCAGAACAGTTTCTTGCCACTGAAGAAAGCCTGCGTGGAATAGTCCTAGGAAGAGTGAAATGCAAAGAAAACCTGACAGTGGATTAACATCACCAAATTTTGGTCTGCATGCATTTTGGGTATGGCCCATTGCAAATTATTAATTCTTTCTTTCTTTTATGACTGTTTTTTGTTAGCAGGGTTTTACCATATATTACCATATATTTTTTCAGGCCAGAAATACAGGAAGGAAAGCTGCAAATATTTTTCTGTATTGTAAAAACTTTAAATTTTATACCTGTTTGGAAAAAGACTCTGGCAATTGTAGTGCGACACAGTGGACATGGAGTGCTGGCTGGATTGTCTTTGGCAAGCATCCTTAAGCAAGGTTCACAAAAGATGTGGTGGCATGGATAGCACATGTAAGGATTGAAATAAACATCCAGGCACACTGCACAGAGGTAGCTTTCTTTATCTCCTCTGAGTTCATGCTCATCATCTGTATGCATGTTGTCGTTTGCAGTCTGCAAGAAGAAAAAGAAAACATCTTTTCATGGCTCAGCTGGGAGCTTAAGAAGTTGGTACATGCTGGTGATATTCTTAATTTTTAATACAGGTTACTTTTAACGAGATGATGAAAGATACTGGTAAGACAGGAATGTCACAACAAGCACTCTGTGGGAAAGGAGAACAAATATCATATGAGACAGTAAAAGAAGGAAATAACAAAACCAAAAAGGCTGAGTAAAACTGTACTATGATAAGATTTCTTCTTTTAAAACAAATTTTAACAATTTGTAACTCTATTACCAAAACACCTGGTTACTTTTCCACGAAAGGCAAAACAAACCAAAAATCTCTAAAAATAACCTGTGGATTGTTCTCCCTTTAGAAGGTAATTTGTGAAGGGCATATTTCAGCAAGAATCATGACTCACAGTTTGAAACAAGCCACAACTTTATTACTACAATGCAAAATCTAAATCTTAGAGTAGGAAGTCTAGGAACCCCTAACATCTTTGGTAACTGCTTGGTTTTGCCAGCATGCATGCTCCAAATTTCCTTGCATTGATATATTTGCAGGGGGACATAGTTGGACTTACCCAATGGTGTAGAGGCCATATGAGTGTAACAACTTGTGTATATTGCCAAGTTCCTGCTTTGCTCTTGTTAACATGACTACACCTTTTGGTGTAATCTGAAGACCTTATACTAATTGCATCCAGGGTTTCTGGCTTAAAGAAAAAAATTTTTCTTCACCTCTATGGGAGCCACACGAGAGACATCGTTGACTTTGCTCTACCCCCTCTATCCATCATCTCTGTTTCACAGATAACAGAACCCAACATAGCCCAATATCCAAGAGACCCACCAGGACAGAACCAAGACAGAGGAGGGTGTCAGACAGTGCTCAGTGTCAAAACTCTTCTCTCATGCCCTTGTTCTAAACTCCTAATCCTTGCTAGTGATCAAGTGTCTTAATTCTAAACTGCCTGGTAGCATCAGTGATTTCTTGCAAGCTCTAGTATCCGTACTTAATACCCTCATGTCCCTTACTCAACCACTGCTCTTTGCTAGTCCTCCAATGCTAGTCCTGCAAGTCCTTCCAGACACCTATTACTGACATTAAGCACACCTGTTGATGCATTTCTACCCAATAAATACTAGTCTGTCCTAGAGCAGCTGCTTGATTTGCATCTAATTTGCATACCCACTACCTGTATATTAACAGGCCACTTTTGACACTCATTGGCCATGGCCAATGATACTGCCTGATACTGGTATACCAAATATTAATGACAATTGTTATTTTGTGCCTACTGTAGAGATGGGAGTCTCTAGATCTGTTTCACAGATGATTGCATGTACAGCTTACTCGTTTGGATTTCTGTCATCTCTCATTATAGTCAGTCCTCTTCTACCTGGGATACTGAACACTGCAAATAATGAATAAGCCCTAACAGTATGGGTACTGTGGAATGCATTTAAAAATACAGAGCAGAGTATTTACAGAATGTATCGGTTCTGGATAAGCACTCATCCTGCCAGTCTGACTCAGTCCTTAGTGATCATGAAATGGTAGTTTTCGATTTTTGGTGAGTTAAGGAAGGGGGTCAGCAAAACCGCCACCATGGACTTCCAGAGGGCAGACTTTGGCCTGTTCAGAACGCTGATTGGGAGAGTCCCTTGGGAGACAGTCCTGAAGGGCAAAGGGTTCCAAGAAGGCTGGGTATTCTTCAAGGAAGAAGTCTTAAAGGCACAGGAGCAGGCTGTCCCCATGTGCTGTAAGGCAAATCGGCGGGGAAGACAACTGGCCTGGCTGGATAGAGGTCTACTACTGAGACTCAGGAAAAAAAGGAGAGCTTACCAGCTCTGGAAGAAGGGGCAGGCAACCCAAGAAGAGTACAGGGATCTTGTCAGGTCATGCAGAGAGGGAATTAGAAAAGCAAAAGCCCAACTAGAACTCAACCTGGCCACTGTTGTAAGGGATAAGTTTTTATAAATGCGTTAACAGCAAAAAGAGAGCCAGGGAGAACCTCCATCCTCTAGTGGATGAAAGGGGGAACATTACCACTAAAGATGAGGAAAAGGCTGAGA